TCACCTTTGCGGTGGTGCGAAATCCCATGCCTTGCTACGACAGCCTTTGTCGTGGTGTGGCATCCCTTGCCGTGGCGCGACAAAGCTTTTCCTGTGCGCCTGCACACTTAGAGCAGGGCATTTCTTCGATGCGAACTTGATGTGGATGGTGCGCTCCTCGTGATCGTCACTAGGCATGGCAGTCCCAAAATGAGGTTTACGGTGGGTTAAACATCATGATTTCATGAGAGCGCAAGCATCAAGTCTTGGAGTAAGCCATCTCTTGCTTTGTGAGCCGTAAGTAAGCTTCCACTTTGCACCTTGAGCCTCTTCCGAGCCGAAAAATCATCGTAACGGGTCTCAAGCTTCGCCTTAAACCTACAAACAAAGGAAAAGAACAAATTAAAGGGAAAAACACGAGAAAATCCACAAAAGTGGACGAAAACACAAAATAAGCAAGAAATAGAGAAACTAAGGAATAAATGAACAAATTAAGCAAATAAAAGGGAAAGAAATAAAAAGAAAGTAAAAACAACCTAAAAACTCATCAAATGAGTGCCTTAAATGACACTCATCGGTTGGGTTTTGTTGGAGAAAGGGAGATTGTGTAAAAGTTGAAAGTCGTCGACTTTTATAATAGAAAAAAAGAGTGCAAGGTAAAAAGGCTGACTCTGTTTTTTCTTCACTCTCACTAGATTTGTCTGGGCTTTATCGCGTCCAATCATTCTCCGACATACTTTTCCCTTTGACTTCTCTGCTATCATCAATCTCAATAAGATTAATTTTGGACGTTCTGTTCCTCTCTACGTGTTTCAACCACATAATCTTGTAGGGGAAGGTAAGTTGGGGTTAACTCTGATATTTCCATGAGTATCACATGCCGCATACATAGCTGCTTGGAATCCTCTTGCTCTCCTAGTGGGGTTGAGATTGCAATAGCTCTCCTAATGTCTAATTCTTCAGCACACTCTACAGAGGGCAAAGACTCCTTTGTATCTGAAATCCACCCATTCAAAGCTTCCTTGATCATATTCGAAGTAAATTCCTGGAATAAGAGGTCTGTTTATACTTAGCCATACTTTTGCTTGGAACGCCTTTCTTTCCGGTGGATGTAGGGAGTCCTTATCAAAGCAGAGGACTCTTCCTATCCTGGCCAGGACTCTGCTTGCTTTTGTTAGGTTTCGTAGTGACCCACACTACGCGGAAAGAAACCCGCCAAGACCCGCCCCCATAATAAATGCAATTAACAAGCAAAACATAATTAAAACATAATTAAGGATAAAAGATTATACCTTTGACGCGTGCTTCGCTCAACTATGAGCTCTTACTTGAACCCCGAAAATACGAGGTCTCCAACGGGATCGTACCCTCGAACCCGACCTGAGCGTCCTAAGTCTCGAAGGTTAGTCGAGTCCCGGACAAATAAAACTATGAGTTTTACGAATCAAGGTTTACTCAAATCAAGAGTTGCCTTTTAATTCCACTCAAGGTTTATCGCATTCCCAATACCTTAGCAAGGTATTTATAGGGAATTGGGTCCTTGATTTCCAATCTCCCATCAATGTGGGAGAATTGGTAAATTCAACAATTTATTTAATTCCGAATTAAATAAATAATTAAATCAATCACAACGCGACAAGTGGCACAATTACATGCTAATGAGTGATGCCCAAGGTTAGGTGGGGGGGACCATAGCCTTGCTCCCCAAGGCTTTGCTTGGTCCCCACAACCACACACAAACCGCCTCAAGGAGGGTTGTGCTGGCTGCCGGCTAGCACCAGCCAGCAGCCTTGCATCCCCTGCCAGGCAGTGCGTGCTGGTGCTGGGCGATGCTTGGCGCTGGTGCGTGCTAGTGCTAGGCACTGCTAGCACGTTATGCTGGCGCTAGCCCTAGCATTCCCACGCATTGCCTCGCACACACTCGCATGCTACGCACAGCCATGCCTGCCAGCCCCTCACGTACGCAAGGCCTAGCATGCGTGCTGCTAGCGAGCCACGCATGCTGGGCTTGGTGCTGGGCGATGGTGCACACGCACACGCATACACGTACGTGCCTAGCACTACGATATTGCTGTGCGTGGTGCTAGGGCTGCGATGGCGCCTAGGCATGATGCTAGGGCTGCGATGGCGCCTAGGCACTCATGCCTTGCCTAGCACACCATGGTGCGCCTAGCACACACATGGTGCGCCTAAGTTTGCGATGAGCAAGCCTAGCCTAGCTACGGCTATGCTCGTACTTGTCGCTTGTGATTTTGTGACGCTCGTTTTCGACGCCCTAGGCTCGATATCCGGCGTCTGTATTCGTAAAACTCCATCGACTCATTAAATCCTTCGGATTAATTCGTCGTCTCAGATCGGTTGTTCGATTGGGTTCGACCCGAAGGGTTCAGTTAAGATTAAGCTGTAATATTAATTATACCTTAATATTACTGATCGGAAGCGGCCTCCACATAGGCATTCCGATCACTTGACCTTACTGAAGAATTAGCTCTGTAATAATTCTGAACCCTCTATCAAAATAATACACTTGTTGGAAGAACACCATTCCTTTCAGCTATATCAACCGTACTGTAGTGAATTGGAAGTCCCTATACTTGTACCCACAAATAAGCTCCACCCAAATTCATTGTTTGGAGAGAATGCCCTATTAAGCATTGCTTGAAGATCACTAAGGCACCCTTGTAGTTGTTGGAGATCTTGTTGAATAGTCTCCTTGGTTGCTTCAAAATAAAAGAACAAAGTCCCACATTGGTGAGTTAAAGAGGTTTACCTTCTTTATATATCTCATTAATCATGTTTATACTTGAGTAACTTGTGTGGGCTAGATATGGGTATTCCCTAGCGCGCCACCGCCCGGCCCGGTTCATGTTCGTGACACGTGCGCGGGTGTGGGTGTAGGTTGGATTTTACACATGATTCTAATTTTTTATGGAAACTTTTGGATAACGGTCACAATATCATTGCCGATATTGTAACCGTTATTATGTGGATTCAGTCAAAGATTTTCTCCTTGATTTACTCCGTAATTATACCAATCAATTTACTTGGCTGATTATCTTCCCCGTAATTATCTCTTCGTTTTACTGTTTTCTTTGACTGATTACCGAGATTTTCTCCATTGATTATGCTGCTCTTCTCGGTTTAAATATTTGGCTCTTTCGGTTTTCATACAGACAGAAAAAAATCCCTCTTCTTCACGGGTTTTCCCATTTTCTCACAAAAATATTCAAAACACTTTTCGGGCACTGTATTATTGAGTTCTCAATTCATCCTTACGAAGTACACAGTTCGGATGAAGTCGTGTAACCCTGGGGGTCGATTGTCGTGAGTCCTTGTGTATGAGTGCGGGGCAAATTCGACTTTAGGGCAGTGATTTTTGTCACGCCACGACATTATTCTTTGGTTTTTGAGATAAGTTTTACTTCGTTATTAGCCTTATTTTCTAGCAGTAGTTTCCATACCATATCTGAGGAGGGCCTCATAATCCTGCTCATTTGTTAAACAAGTAGGAAAATATCATCTATCTTCTCGACTATAATCAGCCCTTTGAACCTCCAAGCTGAATAAATCCAACTCTGTACTTCTTCAACACTAAAAGCTTCACCCCTCCAGTCTTTGAACTTCGCTGCTACTAGCATAATATTGCTATTAAGAGCACTAGACTCCTCCTTCTTTGCACAAAATTGGTCCCATTTTCCGGATGTTAGCAAATATCGCTGGGTTGTGGTTCATTATCCAAAGAAGAAAACAGAAAGGGAAGAAAGAAGAGAAGAGAAGAGAAGTAGTAATAAGAAGAGAAGGGTGGACAGTGAAAAGGACTAGAGTAGAGTGTAGAAAACGAAGTGTGTATAGAGTAACAGGAAACTGAATAAGGGGGATAATAGAAAAGTTTAGAGAAAGATGCTCTCAAACTAGAGAGAGAAAATGAGATTCATTACTTGTATACTTAGTTAGTATTTAAAAACACAAATCATACATATGCCACATGTCATCACAACTCAGTCATATGCCACATGTCATCACAACTCAGTCATATGCCACATGTCACCTCCCTTAATCTTTCAATCATTGTATTCCCTTTTTAATATAAATATTAAAATAAATATATTATATAATGTTAAAATATTTATGCATTATGTAATTTGCAAATTTAAGTAAAAAAAACAAAGTGTTTCATTTCCATCATAATAAAATAAACTTGAACTAATTAGTACACAACTACACATTATATAAACATATAAAGTATAAAAGAAATAGTCTTTTATCTCTTAAACTTATAATATAACTTAAACTAATATGTCATTTTCTATCCCATAATATTCATGTATATATACATAACTATATTCCTTTATCTTCTTCTACAGTTCTACCCTCACTTTTTTTTTTTTTTTTTTTTTTTTTTTTTTTTCAAGTTTTAGCAGTGAACTTCATTCATCTCAATGGTCATGAAACAATAACTTCGTAGTTCCAACTATTGAAAAACATACATATATAAAAATAACTTAAATAATAACCCGTGCATCGAACGGGCCAAAAGGCTAGTTAATGTATCATGCATCTACGAGTATTAAGAAAATAGTGAACTACTTCATCCGTTCTTTATAGTTGCAACAATTCCCTACATGGAAATGTCACAATAATTGCAACATACTATAAAATGAAGGTTTTTATGGTTAAAATTGTACTATTACCTTTATTTAAAATTCATGGCCCACTTAATAATACTACTAACAACCTCTTAACCCCATTTTAATTGTAATATATCATGTGAGGTCCACTATTTTTAATTACCATAATAAAGTGTTTGTTACAACTATAAAAAAAGGAAGAACTAATTGGTTGTTGGTGCAGTGGGGACTGGAGCTGCACTTGGTATGGAGGACTGCGTGTCGATCCTCCACAATAACGATAGGGAGGGGATTGAATCTAACCACCCATAATTAAGTCCCAAATCCGAATTAGCTCAAAGGATGAATCGGGTGGAAAAAAAAACAGAAAGAAAGAAAAAAAGAAAGAAAAAAAAAAAAAAAAGGAAGGAAGAAGTATAAATAATATTTGTTGGTAGGCCATCATATTTCTTATAGTATTATAATCAAAATATATGGAAGCTGAGGACCCAGGTTGAAAACCGACGTCCCAACATCCTCCACCTTCACTGACATACATACGTCTCCCTTCATATCTCGATTTGGTTTTGTTCTGCCGTTTGAGTGAGAGCGAGCTGGCGTTTGGTACACATTACATTGTCTTCCTTATTTGGTTAAGTGTTAGATCAAATTCCAACCCCCATTTTGATTAATTGCTCTCACCTCAAATCCAATTGCTTTTGACCACTTTCTCTTTTTTCAATAATTAATTCACCTAATTTCGGCAAATTTGTTTGCATTTTTTTTAACAGAAAGCTTCCCCAAATCCCTCAATTTTTCTGGATCAATTTCATTTGTAATTTGAGCTTTAAAAGACAATTTGGGATCTGGGTTTTTCAGAAATTGGATTTTCACAAAGATCCAATCACCCAAATCACTACTACTCTCATCAATTTCTTTGATTTCCTTATTTTAATTGGGGTTTCTTACCAGATTTTGCATGTCCAGCAAGTCAAAATCATATTGTTCTACAAGAACGATGTTTGCAACTAATGGATGGTTTTATCCAATAGTTGGTATAGCAACATTAGTTGCTTTCATTTACATGTCATTTGGTGGTGAATTTAACATTAGAATTAGTGTGATTAAGGAACCAAATTATAGTTTTGTTGAGAGGGTTGGGAATCAGTTTATGTTGGATGGAAAACCCTTTTATGTTAATGGTTGGAACTCTTATTGGTTAATGGACCATGCTGTTGATGGCTTCAGTAGGCCAAGAGTGAAAGAAATGCTTCAAGCTGGATCTAAAATGGGTCTAACTGTGTGTCGAACTTGGGCTTTTAATGATGGTACCTATCATGCTCTCCAGCTTTCTCCTGGTGTCTTTGATGAGCAAGTTTTTCAGGTATATAATTCGATTTTTACGAGTTTTGATGTTCGTGTACCCCACACAGTCATTTTGGGATTAAGGCTTGTTGTTATTGTGAATGAGCTTGTTCTGATGTTTTCTTATTGTGCTAGATTTTGGATATATGATCTCAAATTGTAAAGTTTGTCATAATTAAGGATGTTTGTAACATTAATTCATAGATGTGCTTGTTAATCATTACTATTGAACCAAATGGGAATCAATCTTAATCATGTGATTTGTAATCTTTATGACGTTTTATAATTATGAGGGTTGAAAAGCAATGGTAAACAATAGATAAAAAAGGAAATCATTGTGTCCATATTTCTATTACTTTGAAGCATCATTAGACCATTGTATATTAAAAAAAATTGCTGTTTAGTGAATCTTGACTGGATTTTTGATAACTGATTTCTGTTGTAGGCTTTGGATTATGTGATTGCCGAAGCACGAAAAAGTGGAGTAAGACTGATTTTAAGTTTAGTTAACAATTTGAAAGCATATGGTGGAAAAACACAATATGTGAAGTGGGCTTGGCAAGAGGGCATTGGGATTAGCTCTTCCAACGATTCTTTCTTTTACGATCCATCTATTCAGACGTATTTCAAGAATTATATCAAGGTATCATCTCTCTCTCTCTCTCTCTTTTTTTTTTCCTTGAGTAGCCTGTGGATCTGTTGTATGTTTTCCATTGTTGTTTTCAATGACAAATGAAATCGATTAGAGTTTTTGGTACCAGTCTACCAGGATTGTTAAGAAAAAAATTAAATCAAAAGGTCTTATAATATGTGCGATCTTCTGCAATGGTTTGGTTGAAGCTGTTTAGAAATTTAAGGTGAAATAATCTCTAGATAAGAAGCACTAGAGACTCGTTGTTAGGTTTCTATGAAGGATCAGGTGAGATAGAGAAACAAGAGAGTATGGCAATTAGTTATAAGGCCGACTAGTGCTATATTGACACGGGTTGCTTTTGATTTGCTTGACTATGCATATATCCTCATATAAGCTAGCAAGTGGGTTGTCAATTAGCCAAGTTCTTGAAATGCTAATATTTGTTCATTTGAATTAATTTAAATCTTTTTTAATAGCAATGTCAACTCTTACTAAACATAAAAAAAGGTTGACTCAAGTTGACCAGAATTTTAATATACATGTCAAGATTGAGCTTTTGCCGAGCTTGACTTTTGTTTTTTTATCTGTGATCAATAGAATGAATTTTTTTTACCTATTAGAAGTGGAGGTAAACGTAACGGCTCAAATCACATTGCATGAGGTACGTTGTATCATCAATATGCAAATTTTGAGTCAAGATCTTCAGGTCAAAATTTTTTATCACCACTTGTCCAAATTGGGATTGAAAGTGATTTAGGCATGTATAATATTATAACCTATATTAATGATTCCATATCATTTACTAATAACTTTGTTTACAATTTACTCATATGGGTAGAATCAGCAAAATAACCATGGTTCCCCTTAACAATTTGCTAGCAGGGAACAACTATGAATTGGGCCCAGCATTCTGCATTCTTGGGGGATAGATCCCTGCTCCCATCTGCTTGTACCTTTGATTTGGATCTTTTCTTGATGTGTGAATCTCTGATTCCCTTTATTGATATATGGGAGGGTATTAAACTTTGAGGAAGGCTATATACTATAAAAATTATAATAGTTATGGTCCAACATGAAGTGTCATGTCCATGTTGACTATCAAGAAATGATGTGGGCACCTCAGGTGATATCAATTAGAATAATAAGAAGAAAGTACTTTCTTTTATGTAATCACATATTCACATATAAACTACGTTAATGGCTTGCTGATTTTAATGGGCTAAGCAACATGGTGTTGTAGTCTGGTAAGCTTTATGATAAATATATTTTTTTTTAACAAATTGAATAATCACAAGTGTATTGATTTGTCTGCACCTTCTTTGAGCAGGAGAAGCAAATTGTAAAATCAGGAAAATCCAAATACATTATAATGTGGACATTTTCTGCTTGAATTAATTTCCAGACGAACTAGTCTTCATAGTAATTGGGATTTCATGGCTTGGAAATTTAGAATGGATCATTCTTCTTTGTTCGGTAAATAATTGCAAGGTCTAGGGAGAAAGAAGTAAAATCTGAGTGGAAAAGTTTTGCATCATTTTAGAAGGAAATACGATCTTCCTTTAACAGATACTTAGGATTATTTTATTTTATTTTTTTTCCTTTTTTTTGTTGCACCTTCAATTTTCCATATTGTGTTTTTTGGTTTAGTACACTTTCCTTCATTTTCATAAACACCACTTGTTTCACTCTCTTTCCTTCATTTTCATACACACTCCATTGTTTTCCTCTCTATCTTACTGTTTTCCCTCCTTAGTTACTGTTGACTAAACATCAACAACAACAACGCCTTGATCCAAAAATGATTTGAGGCGGCTAATATGAATCATCATGAGGAGAGTCGTCCACAAAAATAATGTAAAACAAGAATTCTGAAAAGAAAAGTGAAACGTTGAAAGTGGATGAGAAACTACATAACGAGCAAAAAAAACATAGGGGCAGTGTAAATAGAAATCCCAAAAGAGGAAATAACAATAAAATTTGGGAAAGTTTTATAAAGGGGGTTAAGGGGAGATAAAAAGAGGTAAAACATGCTAGTAAAAAGAAATTAATATAAATAAATGAGGTCCATCAATCATCTATGAACGTACTATAAATAGGATTAAAAGATGTTCCTCGAAAGCAAATGGCACTAGAGATGTTGATTGTTATTTAAAATATGTATTCTCAGTTTTTGATGCCTTAAAAGTTTTTTGATGTTGCTCAAAACCACATGAGACAATATCAGAATTTAATGGTTAAACTTTAGTTGCCATTGTAACTTTTGGATATTCTAAATGTCTTATTGAAAAACTTACATCCTTAAATATCCTTGGCATTGTTTGATAGTGATAATTTGACATAAGAGATAGGTTTTCAAATGTGAACCATGATAATCTCATGCAATAAAGCTAGCTACTTATTGATAAACTTATTTCTGCAAATAGATTAACAAAGATCAACTAATCTCATGCAATTAAGGCTTGTTGTTAGTCTTGCAAAAGTTGTAATCATGTGAATTCATTATGATTGTGTCAAGTAAATCAGCTTGTCTAGGTTGGAGGAGACTCTTAATGATATCTTAGATTTAGAATTAGTACAGTATCCCTGGTTTATGATTGTGTCAAGTAAACCAGCTTGTCTAGGTTGGAGGGGACTCTTAATGATATCTTAGATTTAGAATTAGTACAGTATCCCTGGTCCGTTGGACCTGTACATTGCTCTTTGTATGAAGATTAATACCACATTGTGGATAACTTTAGTAATTGCTTTTATTTTTATTTTTCTTCTTAGGTTTGTGTGAAGGGTGGAAAGTTTCCAATTATAACTTTCTCCAAATCTTTCTTGTTAATTATTTAGAGAGCTTTGTATTGACAAAGGACCGGAACTTTGATGCAGTTTGGTATTGATTGATTCAATTTAACAAAAAAAAGAAGACACTGCTTGCTACCTTACTGATTTACTTTGTGTGTAGTTTCCTTTCATCAATCTTATTTCATTTATAGGCAATTGATGATTAATATGACATTTTGTGCAATCATTTTTTGTTTTTAACTTTTCCAGACAGTGCTTACAAGAAAGAATACCATTAACGGGATTGAATACCGCGATGATCCTGTGATTTTTGCTTGGGAATTAATCAATGAACCACGTTGCATGTCTGATCCGACAGGTGACACTCTTCAAGTGAGTTCTGGAGTCTCCTTACATCAGTGTTTTTCCTGATTAGAATTGCTCTTTTAAGACCTGTTTTGTAGTTAGTAATAATTAGTAGTAATGACAATTCTTTAATTAGCAAGTTTGTGAAGATAATTTCATGCCAATACCTATGTTAATGTTAGTCCCTCCACAAATACCTCTTTTTTCGTCACAAATTTTCATTGCCATTTATTTACATTTAAAGGTGGTATACTGTGGTAATGAAAATTTATGGATGAGCTGGAGGTAGAGTTCCATTTACACAGTAATGAATGCATGTTTTCTTTGCAAAAGTACATACAAATCCATTACCATTCCCACTATTATGACCGCTTGTCAAACGTGCCATGAGTACATTTGGTTGCTTTAGACTCTGGCTGTATCTAAGCAAAGTTACTATTTTGAACATTTTTTTTGGCGTAATAAATTAATTTTGATCATGGCAGGATTGGATCAAGGAAATGTCCGAATTTATAAAGGCAATTGATGAGAAGCATCTGGTTACCGTAGGCCTTGAGGGATTTTATGGTCCAAAGAGTGCTAAGTCATCTCTAAACCCCTCAGAATGGGAAGCCACTATTGGAACTGATTTCATACGCAACAATGATTTACCAACAATTGATTTTGCTTCTGTTCACATGTATCCTGATCAATGGTGAGCAGTTTCTCTTGCTAACAAACTTTTAACTTTACATGGAAGTTATAGCAAAGCAGCGGTTGCTTTAGGAATCTTCAATATTCCTGGAGTATCCAAGTTAAAGCAGAAAGTCTAGTATCAATGTATCATTCTGCTGTTGCATCTTGCATTATATATCTCTATGTTTAATCTATCCCTATTGTCAACAGTCAATCCATTTTGAATGGTACATCTATAATGAAATAAACTAATCCTGTTTTCCTTTCTTAGGCTTTTAGTGGATAATCTTGAAGAAAAATTGGAGTTTGTCAGGAAGTGGGTGTCATCTCACATTGATGATGGTGATAAACAACTTAAGAAGCCTGTAATGTTGACTGAATTTGGGCTGTCAAGTCAAAACAAGGACTTTGATCCTTCACACCGAGATAGGTTGTTCAAACTTGTTTTTGATATCATATACAAGTCTGCAAAAAAGAATGGGTCTGGTGCTGGTTCACTTATTTGGCAGCTCTTCGTAGATGGAATGGACGATTTTCATGATGATTTCGGGTTAATCCCATGGAAAAAGCGATCCACTTATGACCTGATAGCTGGGCAGTCGTGCAGGTTGGCTTTATTGCATCAACGTTCGAACTTGCAAGGAAGTTTGAGAGATCTGTGTCGGCGATCGTGAATTCTATACAACTGCAAGAGAAATCGTAATTTTCTTACTGCTAGCTTACCGATTTTAGTTTCTGGAAGTATGTTCATTTTTTATGTTGCATTGAGCTGTGCAGATGATCTTTTTATGGGTAGAGAATTGTGCTGTCTATATTCTCGAATTCATATAGACAGAAAGATAAAACTGTAGACTGCAGACGGATTCACACTACTTGTCAAACTGCCAATGCTCAAAATGGCTATATTCTCGCAGATGATGTCGGTGGCCATCGTGAACAAGAATCATCTATGACATCCTTGCAAGTTTGAAGGTCAGAAATTCGGACGAGAGCAGTTTGGAGGCATGATATCACCATGTATATTGTCAATGAGCAGAAACTCGTTTTGCCTAGTAGTTTTTGAAATGTTTTGATTCTCTTTTATTTAATTACCCCATAATTTTCATTTTACTTTTTTTTTTTTTTTTTTTTTCATTTTTTTATTAAGTACCCTACAACATCTTTGTTTAAGAAGGCTTTTAGATTTCTTTACGCAAAGTTGATTTGTCACGAAGAAAGGATTTGTGAACAACTTGGATGTGTCGGTGGCCTCAGTGCAGTTTGTATAAATGTGATATGCAGTACCAATTTTGATTTCAGTTTGTATACCCTGACTATGTAGGTGCAATTCATATTTTTAGAATAGAATTCTAGCATAAACTTATTTATCTTAATTTTCTCAAATTCCACTTATTATTAATCTCTTATTATATTCACTTTATTTCGTACATAAATTTTTGATTAAGAACGGATTTTCATTAAGTTATTGTAAGACGGGTTAAACTTATCTTAAAAATAGGAAATTTTGAATTTTAACACCACAAAAAACACGAAAATTGTTTTTAACACTACAAAAGAACTTTTATTTTAACACCACAAAAATTTTAAATAATTTCCTTTTACCACCACTTAACTAATTCATAGATGAAATCCGTTAGTGGAACCCACAATGCCTACGTGTCAACATATGGTCCAAAATAATTAAAAAAAATAAAACAAAAACTCTTAAACTAAGCCAGCCACCCACTCCGCCATCGCCGACAGCACGACACTGCCACTACCCCACCGTAACACCGCCATTCCCAGCCCCAACCACCGGATTCTCCACCCCCACTCTATCCCCCTCCCTAAAACCGGCAATTTAACCACAACAGCCATAAAAAACGGGTGGCCGTTTTTCACACCCCTTAGAAACGGCCACCATAAACGACCGCTAAGGGTCGAAAAGACCGATTTATGGCCGCTAAGGATTGTTTTCGACCACTTAGGCCCTAAACCGGTCGTTTACGACCATTATTGGTGGTCGGTGTTAGGTGGTTTGAAAAACGACCGCTCGTTTTTAGCGGGCGTTGGGGAGCTGCTGTCGGTTTTGGGGAAGGAGAAACAGAGCGGTCGGAATTTGCGTTGGCTAGGGCTGGGATCTGGGGTGGTTGGGTGGGACAGTGGGAGGCGGCGTGCCGTCGGGGGTGGGGGATAAGGTGGCTGGATTAGTTTAGTGTTTTTTTTTAATTATTAATTTTTTTTTTAACTAATTATTTAGCGATACGTGGCACAATAGCCCCACTTAACTGATTATTAGACGTCAACCGTTAAGTGGTGGTAAAATCAAAATTTTAAACTTTCGACGGTGTAAAAATAAAAGTGTTTTTTTTTTTTTTTTTTTTTTTTAAAAAAAAAAAAACCATTTTCGTGTTTTTTTGAGGTGTTAAAATTCAAAATTTCCCTAAAAATATTTAAAGTTACTCTTTTATACTACAAAAGTTAACATTTTATAAAACAAAAAATTATCCTTGAAAAAAATATATAATGTATTAGATTAATCATATTAGCCTTCAAAGCATGTATTTAGTAATAATATTTATAGAATAAAATACAATCAAATTTATAGAAATTAAAAGTCATCCTTAACTGGGTTAAAGTTACCATAAAAATTAATAAAGTTACCCTTAACTTGACCGTCACACAATAAAATTAACGTACAAAATTTTATTTTGTATATGTATCATTGTATCAAATTAATGTCTGGTAAGTAAGCTTTAAAGCGTTAGTTAGTGCAATCTGTTATACGAGTAAATTGTTTAAAAATAGAATTTCTTACAAAATTATTAGGGAAGACATATCTTATATGATTTGGATTCGAGTCGAATCTGGTTTATTTTATAGGGTTTGGATCTTTCCTCAATTTAACAATCAAAAGATTTAAAATTGGTTGCTGTCATATTTTTAATATGTTATTTTATTTTAGTCTAATAAAATGTTAGTTGAAAATCTTAAAACAACACCGTGAATAACTAAATATATGTGTGTTAAATATTATTTCATTGTTTTATAAAGATTGCTTGCAGAGACAATGTCAGGAATCTTTGCCTCAATAGGAACAACTAACAAAGCTTGTTAAATGTTTTATTTTAGCCAAAACAATGATTAATGTAGATTATATTTGATCTCATAATTTGAGTTCCATTCCTTAATGTTGAGATGATATGGTTATGATGATTTTAAATAAAGAAAACCTTGACTTTTGCTACCACAAAAAACCTTGAGTTTGATTTTTGCTACCCCTTATTTTTTTTTTATTTTACTACCACCTAAAAACACCTTTGTTAAAATTCGCTACCAGTTGACGGAAGCTGTTAGTTTTGCCGTTTGTGGGCCCCACTTCACCCCCGCCCCACTCCTACCACTACCCCTCCTCCCCACAGCCACCACCTAGCCCGCATCTCTTCTTCCAACCACCAGCCCCTCCCCTCCCCTTTCCCCATCGCACCACCACCCTAGCCCAAACCCCTAATCCGTGAAACCCCACCCCCCTTCCTCCACCACCCCGAAACCCCACCCCCCTTCTCTCTGGTTTGAGGGGCTGGTGGTTTGGTTTCTGGTACGGTCTGGGTGGGATCGTGGGTGGTTCTGGGTTGAGTTTTCGGCAATGGCGACCTTCGATTTGGGTTCAGCGATGGTGGATTTGGGTTTAGGGGTTGTTGGCGATGGTGAGCTTTCGGCGACGGCGAGCTTCGATTGATCAGAGGAAGCGGCGAAGTGGGGGTTCCGTGAGGAAACGGCGACGTGGGTAGGGGTTTTGTGAGGAAGCGGCGAAGTGGGTGGGGTTTCATGTGGAAGCGGCGACGTGGGGGCTAGGTGGGGTTACAAGCAAGGGTTGGGGATTGGTGAGGTTCGCCGGTAGGAATAGTGGCTGGTGCTGGTGGTTGATGTGGGTGGGGTGGCAGGAGATGGGGGAGCTGCCAGGGGCTGGGGTTAGGAGATGGGGGAGCTGCAAGAGGGGTGGCTACGTAGGTGGAGGAAAGGGATTGGGGGGTGGCTGCGTAGGTGGGGGTCGCCGGCGTTGGTGGGGGAAAGGGATTGGGGTGGCTCGCCGACGTTGGCCCAAGTTCTGGCCGCCGGCCGCCGGCAGGGGGGAGGGGGAGGGTGGCTGACGGGAGGGGGGCAATTAAGGGTGGTTGGGTTTTTTTTTTTATACATTTTAATTTTTTTTTTTGAATAAATTTAACGGAATCTTGAATAAACTTAACGGAATTTTAACGGATTCCGTTAAGTGGTAGCAAATTTTGACAAAGGTGTTTTTAGGTGGTAGTAAAATAAAAAAAAAAAAATTAAGTGGTAGCAAAAATCAAACTCAAGGTTTTTTGTGGTAGCAAAAGTCAAAATTTCCTTAAATAAATGATGCTTATTAACTAACTTGTGTGTAGATGTGCATATTAAACAATTCATGGAGGATTGATCCTTGTATATCATGAATATGGTTAAAGCAACAATCAATGAAGTTCCTATGAAGGTACTTTTAAAGAGAAGTTCCTAATAACTAGGGAACAAGTATTTAAGTCATATTATTACTGTATTTATTATTATTTAATTATGTTAGTTTAAGAATTTTATTTATATACTTCACTTCGTTTTGATGAAAGTGTGTTAAGTGTACAAGTTTTTAGGCACGTTCTTGAGAAAGGAACAAGTTTCAGAGTTGGAACAAAGGGAAGTCCTTGATCTCTACATGAAATGAAAGGAATGGTGTCCCTCAAACAAGCGTATTATTCCGGTAGAGGGTTCAGAATTAATTAGAAGCCTAATTATTCAATGAGGTCAAGTGAACGTAATGCCTAGCTGGAGGCCACTTTCGATCAGTAATATTAATGAATAATTGATATTACAGCTTAATCTTGACTGAACCCTTCGGGTCACACCCAATCGTGTAACCGAACCGAAGCGACGAATTAATTTGAAAGATTAAATGAGTCAATAGTACGAACAGAGACGTCGGATTCCGAGCTTAGAGCGTCGAAGCCGAGCATCATAAGTCGAGTTGAATTTAGAAATAGACGAGACAAAAAAAGCATCCAAACAACAAGTCAACGCTAAGCCGTAGTTTCGCAATAGCCACCAGCCTCAAGGCATAGCTGGGTTAGCAGGCCTTGCCACAACCCAATGCTTTGCTACTAGCACGCAAGGCCAGAAAGACCTAGCAAGCATGGTGCGGCAGCAAGGCCAGTAGCCAGCCGAGGCTTGCTGGGCCTCGCTGAAGGATAGTAGCGCCCAACAGCAGCCCACATGCATGTGCGGCATGCTTGCTAGGCCGCACGCACACGCAGCCATGCTGGCAGGCCAGCCGAGCACCAGACCACCAGCTAGGTGTGCCTTGCTGCGCATAGCTGAGCACCAGTTGGTGCGTTGTGATAGGGCGTGTGTGAGGGCCAGTTTTTGGGGTTGCGTGGGGAGCAAGGGGAAGGTGGTCCTTCCCTTGTGGTCCTCACCTAACCCCTTGCTCTCCTTGCACCACTTGTCGTTGGTGATTGTTTTGGCATTTTAATTTAATTTGGAATTAAAGTAAATCTTATTTTGCTTTTTTACCAACTATCCCACATTGAAAGATGATGGGAATTCCTAGGAAGATTTCCCTATTAATACCCATCATGGGGTATTGGGATTTTCACTTGAGTTGGTGAACTTTAAGGGATCTCCAAAAGCGAGAAAACCTTTGTTCGTAAACTCTAAGTTATTTTTGGTCTAGCCCCGACTAAGCTTCGGGGTAGGGACCGGTTACGGTTCGGTAGCGAGGGTGTGAGCCATTGGAGGTTCTCGCACTTGTGGAACTTGAAACTTTCAAGAGAAAGTTGTAATATTAATTATACATTAATATTACTGATCGGAAGCGGCCTCCAGCTAGGCTTTCCGATCACTTAACCTGATTGAATAATTAGCTTTCTTAATTAATTCTGAACCCTCTATCGGAATAATACACTTGTTCGAAAGACACCATTCCTTTCACTCTCCCACTTGTCCTTCCGGACAAGTGTGTTGTTTGTGTATAGCCTGTTTCCTGTGTCACTTAATATCTCTTCATGAACTATAAGATAAGATTCTTCGTCATCCTTATTACATCCAGAAGTGTTTCACGATTTACGAGTTTGACTGTCAATAAGAAGATGATTTCTAAAATCCATCTGAGCACGACCATGCATTTTCACAGTCTCGCTCTTCGAGAGGCCTTGTAAACAACAAAGGCATGTTCCCTATTGCTAATAGGGGGACATTCCCAGTCTTATATTGTTAGCTTCCCTTACTAAGAGGACCTAGTCGCCCGAGCGCTGCCGTTATAATCCCCATTTAAGGCAGACGTTTGAAACATAGAAACAGACTAGTACTCAAACAAGAGAACTTACAA